CCATGGCAGGGGGTGGCACTGGATGAGCTTTAAGGTCCCCTTCAAATCTGTGAATCTCCTATTTCTTCCATTTGACTGACAATAGTGTGGGAATGAATGAAGAGAATCTTTTCTTCTGCTCCAGATTGTTTGGGTAAAGAAGGTTAGATGTGAGAAATAAAAATACCTTGGTCAAAGAATGGGTGATGCACAAAGACATGACAGTGGCAGATCCTCAGAGCAGAAATTATTTCAGCTCACAGGTTGCAGGGTACAGGACATGGRAGGGACCTTCAGCATGAACCATTGTGCTCACAGGAAAAAAGAAGGCAAAACAGATGATGGTCTGCCACGTGGTTATTCCCACAACTACTTGCGAAGAAGGAAAGGGAGGCAGAAAAAGGGAGTTTGGGCAGCTCTAAAGTTTGATATTTAAATAAGAAACTGTGGGCAGTAAGGCTCTTGATGGCTTCAATGCATGCACTGGGGATGAGAGGGGACACAGCTTTGGTGTGGAATTTTTTATGTGGTCTTCTTGTGAATGTGGTCTTCTTGTGAATGACCAAGGAAGAACCCATCAGGAAATCAACTCCCAGGTGTCAGACCTCATCTCTCATCCTTGTGGCAGGGAACCCCATGTAAGGAAGAGGAGGTTCTGACAGTACCTTAATAGAGGGCAAAATTTATCAACAACTTGGAATGAATCAGGTCACAGAGGGACAAGAAAAATACAGTCCCAGGGCTGTCCTCTGCACACAGTCAAAGATGCTTAGGAGAGGGRAGAATGAAGGGAGGAGGGCCAAAAAATAAAATATTTCAATTATTTCCAGAAAACCATGTTATCTGATCCTCAGTCTTCTGCAAACAGGAAAAGAAGTTGCCAGAACTGAAGAGTTTGAGATGSCATGGCAGACTTGAAAATTACAAGTTTTCACTCTGTAGGGGTTGGGGTAATTTTTACCGAAAACATTAATTTAGAGGGGAGTGAAGAGTAAGGAAAAATTGGAGAACACTAAAAGAGGCAGACTGGTACAACAGTGTCAGAAAAGTACCACACTGAAGAAAATCTGGAAGAGGGTCTTCAGCAAGAGATGGGTGTTCAATGCCAAAGGCACTGGAAGAACTGAGACTTGAAAACAAGATCAGAGTGTCTGCTTTGACAACAGAAATGGTAATATTTGAATGGAGCGRGATCAAAGGGAAACTGGAGACATGGAAGACAGCTTGGAATGAGCAGAGGACTTGGAGAGGATGGGGATAGGAAGAAAAAGACAATCATCCACATCCACACGGCTGCTAATGATTCTCTGATTTGGCAAATGCAGGAAATGTTAATCTAGAGCACCCAGAGGAACCTTCTTGCAGTARTTGGAGTAGCTGGCATGTGATCTACTCATGAATTTTCCAGAGCAAATTCAAGGGAGAGGTGAAACCTACAAAAGTGCGTGAGACAGTGAGATTTTATCTGCTGTAATGATGGGTGTGTCCCGGGGAAATGGCATTCTGCTCACATGGGATGTACTCTACTGTCTGCAGCTCTGCAGGGAAGATAATTCTGGCAATGGCTCCATCATCTTCTGATTTGTCCAGCCAGCGGCCACAAGGGAACTTGAGGCACTGTCCCAGGGATGGGGCATCGATCTCCACCCATTCCAGAAACCAGCCAGTTGAATTACCTGTGTGGGAGAGATAACAGTGAATAACCCACAGAGCCTTTACAGACAGCAGCAAATGAATTCCCTACACGCCAGACCTCCGACAAATAAATCTTTCTGTCTATTGCCAAAGTGAATGTAGAATATATGACATAAAAATCRTTGTATGCAATTGTCCAGAATTGACCTAAAAGGCTTTAGCCACGTTTCTGTAAGTGTCAGGCTAAAGATGTGCACATGGAAATGCTAATTAATGCATCAYTTGTATCAATTGGCCTTTGTAATAATACAAAGCAGCTATCAATAAACCTGTCCCTTAATGCCCCATAGGGAAAGAGATCCATGCATACCTCCACTGCCTCCCCTGTTTGCAGCAGATACACAGAATTCTGCCTAAAAATCAGCCAGGACGATGTTGAAAACAACAAGAAAAATTTAATAAAGAAATGAGACAAGTCTATGGGTCTCATGCAATAAAAACAAAAACGGGGTTTAATGRTATCTGTGAAATCTCACTGAAGATGTAGCTGAAAAACTGAAGAGACTCTAGCAGAACAAAGCTACCTGCAGGTTGGCACYACTGAGCTTGTACTGTCACATGGGAATGGAATTAGCAGCAAAGACAGGAGCAGCAACAGCCAAAGTGACAGCAAGGATCTGTCACCAAAAGGTAAATTACATTTGGGGTCCTGGAGGCAGGTTATTTTATACAGCAATGCGCCCAGTGCACTAGAAACACTGCATTACAAAGCAGATTATCTTACCTTTATTGTCATGGCCTATCTTGATTTTTTTCAGGTCTCCAATGTCCACAGACTCCACTGTAAACTCATCTACCTTCCCACGCTCAAATTTGTTCTTGTTAATCTTTGAGGCCTTTAGGCTGACTATCCCTGTTGTGGYGATGCAAAAGGACATTGTTCAGCATGTGAAACAAATCCTCTGGGAATGTCAACAGTGCAACGAGGGAAGTGGCTAAAATGCAAAAATTGGCTTTTCATCTCAAGATCTGAGCTTTATCCCTCCCTCTGAGCCCAAGTCTGTATCAACCCCCAAAATATACAGAATTCCTCCCTTGAATGATCCTCTGGCAGTGCAACGGGGATGATGCTGTCGTGCTGGGCTCGCAGCTAAAGAAATCAGTGCTACCCATCAGCTCCCTGTCACTCTCACAGGCATCCCAGCCGCTGCACACACGGCTCAGCTGCTTCCAAGAGGATTTGCTCATCAGCTGATTAAATACTTCTGGGCCACTCAAAGAGGCAGAGGAGGGCTGGGTTTCAGGAGCATGCTGATTCATCGCTGAGGAAAGCAAATCATCCACTGCATTCACTACTCAATAATGTAGTCCCAGTCAACTGTGCTGTTTCTATAATTGAAATTAAAACCTTTAGACCAGCAGCTGGTGCAAATCAGCATCGCAAAGTTTGGCAGTGATTTACAGCAGCTGGTGCCGCTCTCCAAGATACCACGATGTGTGCACCAACTGTGAGAACATGAAATTGCACTAAAAGGARTGAGAGATGGGTATTGGGGAAATGAATAGAAACCATGACCTGTCTTTTTTAGGTAAACAGTGAGTTGCTGTCCTTTTCCATCATTTGAAGCTATACCTGTATCATCTTTACTTCCRTAGAGCGTGATGAAGACGTTGGCATCTGTCCCAGCGTTCTTCTTGTCCCCGGTTTTCACTTTCACCGTGTATGTTGTCGATTTAGCTGCCAGATAAAATATCTCAATTTAAGATTGTGAAGTCTGACCAGGAGTTAACTCTACTTTTCCTTGCACTGTGWGCTTGGTTTGAGTTTTGTTTTGGCTGATCAYAGCCATGCTGTAATCTCACATTCCTGTCCTCTGCTGTGGTAGCTCTTGAGGTGAGCTGGGCTATCAGATTCCAGAATCTTCWACTGCACCAGTCACTCACATTTCCTGCATATCTACAGATAAGAAATGTGCTCAATCCTTCTCATTTTCTTCCTGGGAACCTCTAACACTCCTCAAAGCCGCCTCTGACTACAATATTTCATTAAAAAAAAATCCACCAACCCTCCTTTATTTAATTGGCACCAAAAAAATATATGTGCATATAACACATACCAGAAGGTTGTACACTGATATTTACAAATCATATTCACAAACACACCTTTCAGATCAGCATCAGTAGGGAGGTTTCTATTGCACCATCATCTAAAAAGGGCATTAAACGCATTAAAAGGGTGGAAAAGTCTAATATAGTCTTCACTCCGCTGCTATAACCTCAAGATTTCCAAAATGGAATATTTCCTCCCYAGTTAGAAATATCTTTCCAATATGCTGGTCAACCAGCATGTCCTCCTGACACCTCATGGAATTTTTTTTTACTATACAGCTTGCAGAAATTATTTGTGTATTGAAAAGCATCTGAGGGGGAAATAGGGGAGAGTTTAAAACCTTTAAAACTTGGCTGTTGGAAGCAGTGGAAGTGTTGRGCACTCAGCACCTCACAGGATCAGACTGAGGAGTGTGTCACTGCTCCGTGGTTACCATGCAGTTATTTACAAGTGAGGCAAAGTTATTTTGGAGGACAACAGGCACAAGCAGTGAGATGGAAAGTGAGATAAATTTAGGTCCCGTCTCTTTCCCTGGGTGTCTTTTCTCCCTGCTCATTTTCATTTTGGAACACTTAACCACTACAGTCCATGGTGAGAAATGAGTGAGATTTRTTCCTTAGATATTAGCAATCAATGTTCATTTCAGTTCAAAAATGGTGATTGAACATATTACCCATCTTCCTAGATTTGTCACTTTGGGTCCAATTTTGCAAGATGACTAAATCAAATAAAAATGAGGAGGGTCCACTTTTCACTCTCTGACACAATTTGACACTTCATTCACACCTGAAAATTTCATTTTAGGGCTAAATTACAGCACAGYGAGTAACTACAAATGATAACTGTTAATGTACTAAACAGCATTATCAGCCTGGCTCCATTCCAACCTCACACTGGAAGAAACACGAGGCTGACATGAACCTTTCTGTTCCAGGCCCAGCGTGGCAGGAGACTGGCCTTCGTTTGCTGGATCTTTTTTTACGAATGCTTCATCCACCGGCACAAGCTCCCTGACAATCTGGCCATCATCTTCCTCGACTGCCAGCCACCTCTGGCACGGGAAGTAATACCTGCAAAATGACAGCAGCTTACACAGGGCTTCAGGGGCTTTAATGACATAAACAGCACAGGTCAGGGGSTACWTGAAGGRAAAACATGACAAMAGGATWACTCAAAGCTGAGCAGTACATCTGWTGTCATCCTCGAGATCTGGTGTTTGTGGGAGCTAAATCCATAAATAGGTTGGGGAGCATATACTACAAAATGCTGTTTCTGGGCTGCCAGCCCCATGTGATTGATTCATTTTAATTTCATTCATTTTAATTTCACTCCCAGAAAAAGACCAGTAACTCAAAGCAACCTCCAGTCTCTGTGGCATTTTATGTTCATGAAGACTGGACCTGTCTTGACCTTACGAGTGGTCCCACCCATCAGAATCTTGTGCAACTTTTAAGCATGCGATTTCCAGCATGTTCCAGCTCAAAGGCAAGCCTGCATTTCAGGTTTTGAACAGCCTGCTCTCTGCTCATCCAGCTGTCTGTGAAAATCGTGAGAGTCTGCTTAGATCAGAATTTGCTTTTGGCCCAGACCTTAACACTGARTACAAAAGGCAAACAAAACGTGAGCTCAGAGATTTCCAAAGCAGGGCCTGGAAAGGAAATGCTTGAGCACAGCTTCTGCTTCAGGAGGGAGTGAGGAGTCCCTCCCAGGAGAAACAGCAAAAAGCTGAGGTTCCCTTCCAAGCACTGCTGGCTCCCAAATTGCAGAGGGGCTGGGACAGCTGAAATCCTGACACAGGTACCC